ACACTAAGTTGCTACGCTATTCTCGCTCTAAACGAAAATGTTGCAAGAAGAATCCCTATGGACTTTTCTCGTCGGATTCCCCAAATTCTTCTGTCCTCGGCTTTGCTATCTATGAGAAAATTGTATTCTGGTTTGTACCCGTCTGTAAGTCGAGTAATGTTATTCAGTTGAATACTGTTCGCTGTCGGTGACAGAGTCAGTCCGGGCCTAACTTTGGTTTGGGCCAACCAGCAACTGCTTTTAATATGGATTTGAAAGAGAAAATCTATGCAAAATCTTGCATTAATTAGTAACCTGGACACGTTTCTCTCATAGTTGTGGCGTGTGCGAACGATAGACAGAATAGTGGAGCATCACTTTAGTGGAGATGTGCGCTTAATAAATCTTTTTATTATTATTATTATTATTATTATTATTATTATTATTATTATTATTATTATCATACACACCGAGCATGACATTAAGGAAGGGGCAACGTTCTAGTTTTGATTATATTCTTCAGTGGTGTGCCACCTATATTATCAACATTGTAGATCTCCTGTCGGAAGGTATTTTAGTGTTATACTAGCCTTTCTTCTGGACTGATATGTTTTCGAAAACTGGTTGTTTTCCTTTGCAGTTGGTCTTTTACCAGACTGAGCAGGAGGTCAAATCTTCCAGGGCTTATGTGTGTGTACCTGAAGAGCAAAAGCAATAGTTAAAATTGTTTTTATACTTATATTTTAACATTTTAGATATTAAAATTCACTAATAATATAAAAGACTATTTTAGAAATTGTATAAAAACATTTCATTGTTGTTTATTAAAAAATAAGTTACTAAAAATAGTATGTTTTTAATGTGTGATCTTACTTGTTTTATTATATACCTATTTTGCAGATACACAAGACAGCCAACAGCAAACAAAATATTGCTGGATGTATAAGGATGGATATCTTTGCTCAGGTACTGATTGAGCATTATTATATTTGTATATCAATATTTTTAATTTATCCATGTTGGTGTAATGTAAAGGTATAAAATTACAGAAAGGACACCTAGAAATGGTGCTTTTCCCCTTTCATATTACAACATTCTAGAATTATGTTTTGTATGATATTCACACAATTGGAGGTCAACCAATTATTAGTCAAATACATTTTATTTACTATTGGTGACCTGTTTAAATGGCAATTGGTATTTTCTATTTTCTGTGCGTGGTTGTCTCCGTGCAGCTTTCTGACCACCAATTATATTGGAAAATTTATATAAATGTGTTACTGGTGTTATTTATTACTGATATACTGATTTAATATTGACCAAGTAAACATATTGAAAGTTAATTATTGATCTACTAAACAGGATTTATATTATAAGGTCAGTTTACCCAGTGTAAAACATAAAATAAACACAAATGATTAATTATATATAATACATTTTTATAAATGAGAAATGAGGCAATCAGTGGGTCAATTGACAGTTTTCTATTTACATTAAAGGAAGAAGGTTATGATATTGACGGTGATAGTATTATGGATACAACGCCCGCAGCCATATTTCCGGCTAAAAGTGGTTTTTGTGAACGTAACAATATTAGAACGGTAGAGGTAAGAAAGTTTCTAATGTAAATTTGTATCATTTTATTTAAAAATGTATTACTTATATATACAAGTTTTTTATTTTGTTGACTTCCCATCAATTAAACCGCCAGATATTTTTTTTTTTTACATCACTACTAATCCTAATGTTTTTTTAGTTATTGTAACTTTGTTTTTGTTGCATTTCATGTTTGCTTTCTTTTTATTAGAAAGAACCATCTAATAAAGATGATGAAATATCATGTTTTACAAAGATGATATCCTTAATGATAAGGAGTTTGCCAAAATATAAAAGAAGATTGGTACAGCTTCGGCTAATGGAGGTGTGTATAATTTTATAAAGATTTATTTTTTTCCAGTATTTTTTTTTTGTGTGTGCAAATCTTGTGATGATTTTAGAATGCATTGATACTATAATTAAATCCTTGCACACCCACTATGGTTCATAGAGCTAGAGCCTATCCCCAGTTTTTGTAGTGTGAAGTGAATTAGAAAAACTTTCCCTGGGCGAAACGCTGGTCCACCACAGGTTACTCCAGAAACTTGCTGGTACCTATGAATATAGCTGGGTAGACTAAAGCAATGTATATAAAGTGCCTTGCTCAATGACACAAGCAAAATGCACAGCGAAGATTTAAAACTGATTCCACCATTGATACTATACTTTATGTTAAATATTATTTCTGCAAATATGCAGTATCCATAATAGCATTTTACTGGTCATCAATCAAAACAATCCTAACAAATTTTGACAGTTTAAACTATGTTGGCCAGCTCATGGTCTTAGCCAAAGAGACTATCTATATGGCTTCTCTCCACCTGGAATGGTGAATTACTACCACATACAATGGATTAACTACTACTGTAAATTTATGAAACCATCGATAAGAATGAAGTACTGCAGCGTGGTGTTTGGATAAATATAGTGTTAAATTTAAAAAAAAAAAAACCTATATATAAAATCATTGACTCGCTCTTAGTAAAAAATAAATAAAACAAAATAAAAACGAACAATATATTTATTTGAATATTTTTTTTTCAGGTAATTTGTGAGGTTGAGTGACATTGAAGTTGAACTACAGTGCTAATGATCTACTTTTAGTATAATTTCACATAATACTTTGATGAGGGTGGGTGTTGGATGGTGGGGAGCGGGAGCTTGTCAAATGCTTGAGTGACGTTTACTCAATTTGTACTTTGTTTTCTTTAGTGTACTGTATTCTATTTGAAGCAGTCAACTCTCCCAATACCGACCACCCTTCGGACCGTCCACTTTGACCGGTTTTCTGGACGGACCGGTTTAGAGAACGTCATGTTTACCTACCTTGGTTTCCCGATCTTGAGTCAATAATAAGCCTAGGCTTAGCAAGGTACAGCAGAAATGTACACCACACTGCATCATGTACTGTGTAGGCCTACTGACCTGAGAACGTCTTTTAAAATTCATGTTTTACTTTATTTTTACATTATTTATGTTGTACGTACCTATTGTTTTGTGTCGAAGTCTATTATCAATAAAAATTTACACAAATCAACTTAATGTGTATCGTAATTTATAATAAGTGTCAGTGTTATTTTTCGTTCGATCGCCTTAATCTACTTCGCTTCAACGTGGTTGCACGCTTGATTGGTTTTCGATGCCGCTGGCATAACCTTAGCTTGTTGGGTCGCTAAATGCAAAAAATAAGTGCTAACTTATGCAGCGCCCCCTAAACTGCGTCAGCCAATAGAAAACAGTCAGAGGTGACAGTCAAAGTGTCATGCGCATTTGTTTTTATGAAATCGATAGCGTGGGACCGCTTGGTTTGCCTTAGCGTGAGAATGAATGCAAAATGTAAGAAAAGGGTACGTTCCTTAATAAAGAAAACACACTCATGAACTTTATTAAACAATCAGTTTATTAAACAAATGAAATCTAGGCTTATTGCAATTAATTAATTAATGCGCTATCGGCGTGTCACACGATCAACACTAACGATCGTACACGTGGTGTTGTATTAATTTTGGACGCACCAATATCATGTGAAGTGTGCCACTGTTTCAAAAGTGTAGTTCCGAATAAATTATTATTATTATTATTATTATTATTATTATTATTATTATTATTATTTATTAGTATATTATTAGTTGCTACATTAACTTAAATTTGGTAGCTGCAGGGTTTTTTTTATATTAAAGCAAATTAAAAGTTTAATTTTACATTATTTATAATCTAATCAATCTACAAATTAAAATAATATCGGTGCTACTTATGTATTAAGTTTCTTGTAAACATTTGATCTCACATACCGTGCTTGATGAATGTATTTAGATGATAGAAATATTTCATTTATATCCAGACATCTAGAAATCTATGATATATAGAATCATTAGAACCATAAATAAGGTATTTATTGGTTTCTAATTTGTTCATTGTTGTCTTGAAATGCCAATATACAGTATTACATTTTGTAATTAAAGTTGATAAATTCAATTCTTTGCAAAGTGGTTTTTTTTTCAATGATTTTGCACAGTACAATTGTATAAATATTACCATACCAATACCATCATCATCATCACCACCACCTATTTTGCAGTCAACATAATTTAGGTTTGCTTTATTCCCAAGCAAAAAATAATCTACATATTGATAAGTTGCTATCTATGAGAGAATAGGATTCCAGTTTGTACCCGTCTGTAAGACTAGTATGCTATTCAGTTGAATACTGCTCGCTGTGAGGGACGGAGTCAGTCCGGGCCTAACTTCGGTTTGGCCCAGCCTGCGACCGCCTTTACGGTGGATTAGGAAGAGAAAATTGATGCTTGCATTGATGAGACCATGGAAACTTTTCTCTCATAGTTGTGGCATACAGGTAGAACAGTTGAGCATCAATTACATTATCATACACATCGAGCATTACATTAAGGAAGGGCAACATTCGCGATATTTTTTTTCCTATAATATTATCATATTATGAGAATTGCCAATGAAGAAAATTAAGCAGTCTGATTGGCTGTTCTAGGCTACGTCATCTGACTCTTCAAAGTGGTAAGGAGTTTTCGATTTGCACGTCCA